AGTATTGCTAGTCAATGCTACATAATATTATGTTATGTATAGGCCCAACATTATATAAGTTTATATATATTTTGTATTTGTATTGTGTATCTTGATTATCAATAAAGATATAAATTAATTAAAACGTTTTGCTTGATTTAAAATCCTTACATTTTGACAATATATGTTCTTATCATGAAACTTATCTGAATATTAAATGTCACGGTCTAAATGTGTTCAACAATATCATGAATATGGCCGCTAATGAAGACGGGCATACGCCATACAGTGTGCTATGAGGGAAATTTTGCCCAGGCAGCAGCGCTACGGCCTACTCTTATATCGAATTCCAACTGCCAAGGGATCTTTTACGTGCACGCCAATGTGTACACAAGACCTTGGTTTTTCGTATCATCCGAACGACTAGACAGCTGTCCTTCCAGGCCCTCCATCCTGCATCACTGAAAAGGGGAAACAACGCCGGAAAATCTGAATGAACTTTCTCGGCCAATGCAGGGATCGAACACCCGACCTGCAGGCTAGCCAGCCAGTATCTTACCCACTTAGCCACGTGATCCACCTGGAAGCATGAGAGGACGAAACCTATAAATATTCAGCATTCCCCAACATTTTATTCCAGTGTTGGCCGAGAAAGTTCTTCGGGATTTTCAGACTTGGTTTACTCCCCTTATCAGTGGTGCAGGACAGAAGGCCCGACAAGGACAGCTGTCTAGTCGTTTGGATGTTACGAATGACCGAGGTCCTGTGCACACATTGGCGTGCACGTAAAAGATCCCCAGGAAGTTTGAATTTGATATAAGAGTAGGCCTTAGTGCCGCTGTCTGGATAAAATTCCCTGATAGCACACTGAATAGCATATGTCCATGTCATTAGCCCTGTCGGAATAGGACATTAAACCCCATTTCATTTCAATCATTCCAAAGTTAACTCCTATTCCATCCTATTGAGCAAACGAGATAGAGGCTATAGGTTTTGGCCAAATTTGGTCAATATCCCGGTTTTCCTTTCTGATATGCATATATCAACATTTTCAAAGTGCTAATGTAGACCTTTTTCTTAAACATTTTCCCTTGTCAGTGATGCCGGACAGAGGACCTAACATGGATGGCTGACTAGTCATATGGATGGGACAAAAAAAAACTGTGTACACGCTGGTGTGTGTGTGTGAAAGCTCCCTTGGCAGTTGGAATTTTATATAAGAATAGCCGTAGATCTGTTGTGCAGACAAAATTTCCCTCATAGCACACTGTGTGGCATATGCCCGTCTTCATTTCTCAAACAGCTGTGGATATACATGTAAACTGTTAATATTTAAATGTGTATTTTGTAACATTATTTTTTTATCTTTCAAATAAAGTACATGTATACATACTTTTAGTATATTTTGTTATATAACTCTGCAAATTGTGCTAGATTTTGAACTTTTCTGTGCAACACATTTAGAATTCTGACTGGTTATGGGTAGATAGAGGGAAATGGGATGTAACATCCAATAGATATTACTGTCCTTTGGGACTAAGTGATTCAATTCAAGTTGAATAATTCACTCGCACCAGGAATCTTTAGTAGTGGTAGGACCCAGAGAAAACCCGTGTTCAAGTTGGGTGTGGAATCTAAACCACTTGACTCAATGACAGACCTTATGATCTAAAGCGCACACGTTAGACCACTCAACTTCTAGCCCCTCCCACGAATAGAAAACATTTGATTATTGATGACTGTACTTCCCATTTACTGCCGCAAATAATGAATAATTTTGAAGGTTTTAATGGTTGGTTATATTTTTGTAACTTTGCTCATCAAAATTTGACATTAGAATTGCATCCGAAAATGATGTTTATTTAATGTTAGATTTACGTTGTAATGGTCGATTAGATTTCCATCATTTTGCTCATCCTTTTGACGACAATTTAACCTCAGGAAATGGCTTTAATCTAGCGTAAAATGTTTACGTCATTTTTACGTCATATTTACGTCATTTTCTGGCGTACATCTAAAGTAAAGTTTACGTCATTTTTTGACGTAAATCTAACGATTATTACGTCATTTTCTGGCGTACATCTAACGTAAAGTTTACGTAATTTTCTGACGTAAATCTAACGAAAGTGACGTAAACTTTACGCAAAATTTACGTTAGATTTACGTCAGAAAATGACGTAAACTTTACGTTAGATTTACGTCAGAAAATGATGTAAATATAAAGTAAAAATGATGTAAAGTTTACGTTAGATTAACGTCATTTCCTGACGTAAAATTATCATTAAAAAGAGGAGCAAAATGATGGTAAACTGACTGACCATTTTTAAGTAAATGTAACGTAAATTTAACATCATATTTTTATGCCGATATGCACGAATATCGAAGCAACCAAGATCTTTGGGTTATAAACAAGCATTTCAAGTTTCATTAGAATCGTATTAAAATTGTGACCTCTACAGGGTCCACAACATTGATATACCATATTTTTACGCTATTTGACTATGAGGCGTGGCCATTTTGTCTGTCAGTTTTGGTTCGATTTTTACGAAATTCGAACTCAACCATCCTTAGGGTATTACGGTGAAAGCACCCAAGATCTTTGGGTTATAAACATGACTTTCAAGTTTCATCAAAATCGGATTAAAATTGTGACCTCTACAGGGTACACAACATTAATATACCATATTTTTACGCAATTTGACTACGAGCCGTGGCCATTTTGTCTGTCAGTTTTGGTTTGATTTTTACGAAATTCGAACTCAACCATCCTTAGGGTATTACGGTGATATATTCAAACGTTTATTTAAATCAGATAAGAATTATGACTGCTATAGGGTCACGCGATTTTTGGTACAATCAGGGGCCTTAATTCAGAAAGTTACGATTCAAAATGCACGAACATCGAAAGAACTGAGATTTTTGGGTTATAAACTTACATTTCAAGTTTCAACAAAATCGGATAAAAATCCGATAAAAATAGGGTCCACAACCTTGATATACCATATTTTTACCCTATTTGAGAACGATGGACGGCCATTTTGTCAGTCGGTGTTGGACTGATTTTCAGGAAATTCGAACTCAGCCATCTTTAGGGTGTAACGGTGATATACTAAAACAGATTTTTAAATCGGATCAAAATTATGACCTCTATAGGGTCCACAACCTTGATATACCATATTTTTATGCTATTTGAGAACGATGGGCGGCCATTTTGTCAGTCATTTTTTGTCTGATTTTCACGAAAAATGAACTCAACCATCCTTATGGTGTATGACCTCCATAGGGTCAACAAGCTAAAAACGTGATTTTTCGTACAATCAAGGGCCATAATTCATGAAGTTAAGAGTCCAATACATGCCAATATCGAAAGGAACCGAGATCTTAGGGTGATAAACCTATATTTCAAGTTTCTTTGAAATCGGATAAAAATTGTGACCTCTAGATTGTTAACAAACAATTATGGACGGACGGACGGATGGATGGGGCGACGGCAATATACGACCTCATTTCCATTAGAGCTGCAACGATTCAGTTCGGTGCACCGATAACCGACACTAGCCACCTCGGTTCGATCCACGATCTACAACGTTCAAATTTCGATTCGATTCAATTGCAAATTAAATTTCAAATAAAAACAACGTACACCTTACCATATGGAAAAAAATGAAAGACCTGAAGCAATTAAGTCCACTTAAAATTTAAAAAAAACTTTGTTTTTACGTAACTTTTAATTTACGTTATTTAAGAAGACAAGAATGTCACTCGAAAACATAACTAAAACAGAGTGACCTCCCTTTAAAACAATTTCCGTATGCTGACGAAAGTTAATTTATTTAAAATTGGTGACGTACCGAATGTTCATTGGATGTTAATTTAGGTCAATAGCTTCGGTAATCGTTATATAAAAGATCTCATTAGCTGATAATTCCGGTCATTATCTACGGATATTTTCGTGTTTAACGATTATTACCCGTAGTCAAGCAAACACGACTGGAAGGTAAAATTATGGCAGACGACGTACTTTCTCGACCACCTGGTCATTTGAAATCTAAAGTTTGGGATCATTTTGGTGTAAGAAAAAACTCTAAAGATGTGGCAACTTGCAGAGTATGCTACACTGACATATCCCATAAAACACAACAAACCTGTCAAACCAATAAAAGTGTTCAAGAGAATTTTAGTCTTGTGTTTTCATTGTTTTTAATGTATTATATACAGGAAAAATTACTGGCTATTGTAGCTGATAATCGAATTGAAAATAATCGAATCGAATGGTTAAAATCGATAATCGAACCGAATCGAGGTAGTTGTGAATCATTGCAGCCCTAATTTCCATGTGGGCGTATAAAAATTGACGCAGAACAAATAAAGAAATTGGAGTCTTAATTTAGAAATTACATGCATAGAAGTAAGAAATTAGACAATGGCATGTTAGAATTTTGATTATACATTGTCTTAATTTAGAAATTACAAGAATAGAATTTAAAAATTAGACGACAGCACATTAGAATTTTGAATCTAATATACCGTCATAATCAGGGGCCATAATACATGAAGTTACGATCCAATACATGCCAATAGCGAAAGGAACCAAGATCTTTGGGAGATAAACATATATTCGAGTTTCGTCAAAATCGGATAAAAATTGTGACCTGAAGAGTGTCCACAAACAAATGGTGGAAGGACGGACAGGTGCGACGACAAAATACATCCACATGAAAATGTGGGTGTATAAAAATAAAACTGTTTTGTTCAAATTGTACTATGATTCTGCAGGTCTGAAAGTTTTGAACAAAATATTGAAATGACAGGTAGTTCAATTTGGAATAACCAATTATCAAGACACAGTAACCAAAATTCATCTAAGCTATCTATATTGAGTACCTTTTACCCTGATGCATGTAAATTTCATTGAGAATCAGTTAGAAAAATTCACTGCAAAAATCAGATTTGGACGGATGAAATACCATAATACTGAAGACAGGAATTTGACATAATATATTGAATTTTTAAATATTTACCAAATACATCAGAGCCACTTGGCGACGGAATGGTCCTGGTGGACCAATCAAAAACACATCCTGTCCTAATAAATCCTGAAAATATCAACAGAAATGCAAATAAATTGATTGCATTATAAATTTGTGACAATTGCATTACAAATCTGTGACTGATTTGAATATATGAAATGTACCATATTTCATATTAAACTACATGTCGGTAAAGTCAGGGGATTTGACCACGTCGTTGTTTTACCACGTTAATTTCATACCGATATGGATTTGATTTAATTCTTTCTTAAACTTCTCTCTTACTCTATAACTAATGGCAAAAACCAACCAGCGGCTGCCAGGCAGGATACGCCCACATTTTGCAAGAGATGGATAGAGAACGAGTTAAAAACAAACCAGCGGCTGCCAGGCAGGATACGCCCACAATTTGCAAGAGATGGATAGACAACAACCTAAAAACAAACGGGATTTTTTGTACAATCAGGGGCAATAATCCAGAAAGTTATGGTCTGAAATGCTCAAATATCAAAAGGGACCGAGATCCTTGGGATATAAAGATATGTTTTAAGTTTCATCAGAATGGGATAAATATTGTAACCTCTAGAGGGTCGACAACCTTCATATTGCATACTTTTACACAATTTGCGTACAAAAAGCTGTCATTTTGTTGGGCAGTTTCATTTCGATTTTCCCGAAATTCGAATTCAACCTTCATTATGGTGGAATGGTGTAATATTTAAATGGTTTTTAAAATTGGAAAAAAAAATTGTGACCTCTAGAGAATCCGCAAGCAAAAAATGCCATTTTCGAACAATCAGGGGCCATAATCCAGGAAGTTAAGTTCGGATATTCGTGATTATCAAAAGGATCCATGATCTTAGTGTGTAACGGTGATATATTCACACATTTTTTTTAAATCAGATAAAAATTGTGACCTCTACAAGCTAAAAACGCGATTTTTCATACAATCAAGGGCCATAATTCATGAAGTTACTATCCGATATGCCGATTATGGAAAGGAACCAAGATCTTTGGGTTATTAACTTACATTTCAAGTTTCATCAAAATCAAATGAAAATTGTGACCTCTAGAGGGTCCACAACATTGATATACCATCTTTTTACACTATTTGAGTAGGAGGGGCGGCCATTTTGTCTGTCAGTTTTGGACCAATATTTACCAAATTTGAACTCAACTATCCTTAGGGTGTAATGGTGATATATTCCAACGTTTTTTTAAATCGGATAAAAATTATGACCTCTATAGGGTCCACAAGCTAAAAACGCAGTTTTTCGTACAATCAGGGGCCATAATTCAGGAGGTTACAGTCAGATATGCGCGAATATCGAAAGGCAACGAGATCTTTGGGTTATTAACTTACAATTCAAGTTTCAACAAAATCGGATAAAAATTGTGACCTCTATAGGGTCCACAACCTTGATATACCATAATTTTACGCTATTTGAGAACGAACGGTGGCCATTTTGTCTGTCAGGTGTTGGCCGATTTTCACGAAATTCAAACTCAGCCCTTCTTAGGGTTTAACGGTGATATAAAAATACGTTTTTTTTTAAATCAGATAAAAATTATGACCTCTATAGGGTCCACAAGCTAAAAACGCGATTTTTCGTACAATCGGGGGCATAATTCAGGAAGTTATGGTCCGATATGCGCGAATGTAAATAGGAACTGAGATCTTTCTGTTATAAACTTACATTTCAAGTTTCAACAAAATCGGATAAAAATTGTGACCTCTATAGGGTCCACAAGCTAAAAACGCGATTTTCCGTACAATCAGGGGCCATAATTCAGGAAGTTACGGTCCGATATGCGCGAATATCGAAAGGAACTGAGATCTTTGGGTTATAAACTTACATTTCAAGTTTCAACAAAATCGGATAAAAATTGTGACCTCTATAGGGTCCACAACCTTGATATACCATAATTTTACGCTATTTGAGAACGAACGGTGGCCATTTTGTCTGTCAGGTTTTGGCCGATTTTCACGAAATTCAAACTCAGCCCTTCTTAGGGTTTAACGGTGATATAAAAATACGTTTTTTTTAAATCAGATAAAAATTATGACCTCTATAGGGTCCACAAGCTAAAAACGCGATTTTTCGTACAATCAGGGGCCATAATCCATGAAGTTTCGATCCGATACATGCCAATATCAAAAGCAGCCGAGATCTTTTGGGGATAAACCTATATTTCAAGTTTCGTCGAAATCGGATAAGAATTGTGACCTGTAGAGAGTCCACAAACAATTGTGGACGGACGGACGGACAGGGGCGACGGCATAATACGTCCACATGAAAATGTGGGCGTATAAAAATGGTGTAGATGTGTAAATGTCAGCTTAATTTTCAATATTTTCTTATCAAAGTCTAGAATTTGTGGTGTTTATTGCATTTATGTTACTTATAGAACAGTGAAAAGTTAATATTGCTCCTTTTCAGGCCTCCTTCATCTTGTCAACTCTGTCATAACTACTTTTTGGACTTCATTTTTTCAGGCAATTGATGTGAAGCTCCAGACATCTTGCTTCAGCACAAGAATTGCAATAAAGATTTGTATGGTGCCTCTGAGCCTTGAGATGTTGAAAACATTGAAATTTTCCCAAATTTGTAAAAATTGTGTATTCTGTGACCCTTTTGTTAGAGAGGGGTCGTCATAGACCAAATATGGCATTTTTTTCTTTCATCAAGGCCTATTTTTAACCATAATTCATATTTATTGCACATATTTTAGTTTATATGTACATATGTTAGCCAGGGATGGTAAAACATAGCTATTAGACAGATTGCTTTGATGATGTTACTTCTGCAACCAAAGATTAGATTCGTTCAGTCAGTGACATATTTAGGGGGTGGGGATACATGTTTAAGTATAGATCTCTAATATTACAATCAATGCAGCTGATTTGTGATTTTTCTGTGTGTATATTGACCAGGGTTTCTAAAAATATATCCCTTTTCGGTCTGGCTATCTAAAAAGTGGAAAATATGTTGGGGGTTTTAAAGATGCTACATGTAAATTTTGTACATTTTTCATGACATGGCAGTAAAAAATTATATTTTTGAAAAAAAATCCAGCTTATGAGTGTTTTCTGTGTAATTTGTTTGTAACTTGTCTAATTTTTTCACAGAACTCAAATACTGCCTTTAATAAGAAAGATTTTTAAATTTTAGCACAAAAGGCCCATGGACCTGAGATGCACTACTGTACATAAAGCGGCATGTATACTTAAAGGGCCATCATTTTTGCAGTTATTCTTTGATTTTGATTTCCTTTCACCGGTATGTTACCAGAACATCTGGGAAGCATATAAAAAAGACTTTTTGGTGATACCTGAAGTTTCACCCCTATATAGGACACAGCTCACCAAATATTTCTACGCCATCACCCACGATTGTAGGGCAAAAGTTATTTTTAGTCTTTCTCTCCCTTTCCCTTTTTCCCCCTTTTGCATGGCGATTTTTGTTGACTTTTTGGTGTAGAATCGAAGAAAAGGGTTTGAAAATACATTTTCTACCAGGTTTTGGTGAATATTCATGATTTTGAGGCGGAAAGATAAAAGAGTTGAGAGGTTGGTTAGGTTGAAATGTAGGGTCCAAAATTGCATGTTTTCTTGTCTCTACTTCCAGCATGTGTATCACAAGTTTTCCATGGTGAACCTCATACATGCTTTTGGGCAAGAGGTTGCCACATGTTGCTCCATCTGTGGTAGAAAGCGTTCTACCCAACGAAAATTTGGGAAAAAGTTAGAGCCGGTCTAAGAGACGAGAATTAACATTAAAGTCAATGGGCAAATGTTTAGTGATCTGTGGCCATATGTGTGATTATCAAAAGGAACCAAGATCTTTATGATAAACACATACATGTATACTCAAAGTTTCATCCAAATCGGATAAAAACTGTGGCCTCACACATATTTTTACACTATTTGCGTTCAAGAGGCAGCCATTATGTCCATCAGTTTTTGTCCGATTTTCACGAAATTCCAACTCAACCATCATTAGTGTATAAATGTGATACATTCACCCGTTTTTTTTTTTAAATCGGATAAAAATTGTGACTTCTTTAGGGACCACAAGCTAAAAACATGATTTTTAATACAATCAGGGGCCATAATTCAGGAAGTTACGATCTGATATGCGGGAATATCGAAAGGAAACAAGATATTTGGTTTATAAACATGCATTTCAAGTTCCATCAAAATCTGATCCAAATTGTGACCTCTGGAGTGTTCACAAGCTAAAAACTTGATTTTTCGAACAATCAGGGGGCATAATCCATGAAGTTATGGTCCGATACATGCCAATATCGAAAGGAACCAAGATCTCTTGGAAATAGACCTATATTTCAAGTTTCGTCAAATTCGGATAAAAATTATGACCTGTAGAGTGTCCACAAACAAATTGTGGACTGACGGACGGACAGGGGCGACAACAATATACGTCCACATGAAAATGTGGGCATATAAAAAGGAATCGGTTTATTTGAATGTGTGATGTGCTTAAATGTATTTACTGGCAGTCCTGAATGTTCAAGTAACCTCAGCCAAGGAAGGTAGAAATCAAAGATGGCAACATGAAACCAATAGCAAGTACCAGGAACTCTAGAAGAACATAACTTACATGAGGATTTAAATAACTTTGGAGCCATCTGTTATTTATTATGAAATCTATATTTGCCTTTTAGTCTAGAGATAATATGCTTGTAACAGCGAGTAATATCAAAGAAAGAATTAGAAAGATAGGTTGCCAGGCAACGAAAAATACGCCCACAGCAGCTAAATGCGGGTTGTCGCATATTTTTACTTTTTTCGGTAATGAAACATTTATAATACACTAAAATCTGCTTAAGAGCAACAACTCACGGAGTAATTATCAGAAAACTATTAGAATTTGTTTGGTTTTTATAAAGTTCTGCCCCATGCTAACGTTTTGTATTCAAAGCTTTTAATATCATGGATTTAACTGTTCAAGTCATAAAAATTCATTGAAAATCAATATACTTGTTCGTCTCAAGATCTTAAACTCTGTGTATCAAACTGAAGTCAATCGGATGATAACTCTGGC